ATCTTTAGTGTTTTGAGAAAGTAAGAGATGTTTGTGTACTGTGTTCTGGGAGTGAGGGTGATGGAATTAGTGGGGTGAAGAAGCCAGTCTGTAGTATTCCTGGTTCCTCAGCTACTAACTCCATCTTCTGGCCTGAGCACTCCTTGAGAGGAGCCAGGCCCTGCTTGCCACCAAGTCTTGTGTGACTGTCTCCTCAGTCGGCTTTGGATCTATCTGGCTGAGACTGGGGTTTCTTCCCCTAGCTGGTGTCCCTAGGGACCCTCCCCCCCATTCGGTTCCTGTTAACCCCTCACTCTAGTTCCTGTTCCTCCCAGAAGCCTGCCCTCGTCCCTGTCTTCCCCCTCCCCCCACTTTGCTCTGCCCTTATGCTCTGGGTGTGCTCATTTCCCACTTCCTTCCTCGCCCTGGGGCCTGGCCTGGTCCTTGCCCGTCTAGGAGCTGTGCTCTGCCCCAGACTTTGAACTCAATGGCCAGAGACCCTAGTAACCAGCAGCAAAGGCCCAGACTCCACCCACCACTACTATCAAGGTCTCTGCCTACAACCCCCCAAGTGACTGGTAGCCATATTTTTACCACTTGCTACAAACTGATTTTCCCCACTTTTCTCATTCTCCTGGGTGAGGAGCCCCAGGGCCCTCAAAAATTCTGGAAGAACATAGGAGTATTAAAGATATTTGATCTGTTTTGAGAGGTGAGCCACGATTGTAGGCTGAGCTAGGGATGTTAGGTTCCAGCTTCAATTGGGTGAGGAAGATAGAATGGCTTCCCACACTCCTGGCTTGGAAGCTGACTGTCAGAACTGAGACTAGAGTCTACTCCTCTTGGGGGCTCCTCTGGTTCCCTGAGGGGACTTGATGTAGTGCCAGAGTTCTTTTTGTCTCTGAGCTGACTAGGAGAGGGTGGGAAAGGCCTGTCTTCCACACAGTGGCTGAATGAGTGTGACAGTGTTGCTGAAAGGGGCCCCAAGCCAGCCTCCGCTAGCTGAGAGACTGGCTGGGGAAGGAGGAGTGTTGAGGCCAGACAAAGCCATGGGGTAGGGTGGGGTAAAGGAGGGCAGGCTGATGCCTTTTGAGGAGGAGCTGGTTGCTATGGTAACCCAGCTTCCCAGACTGTCAGGGAGGCGGGCCTAGGGCACGATCACTCCTCCTTCCTCAGGATTGGGGCATTTGTGTGAGTGGGTGGGACATGAAGAAAAAGGGCATTAGTTTACTGTGCTGAGGCTGTAGTATATAGCCTTTCTGCTTCCCTACAAGCAGCAAGGCATTCAGACACTTGGACCCATCTTCTGAAAACGGATATGAGTGAACAATAGCCATTAGAATCAGAGCGGTATAAGGCTAGAGCTGTGGAGGTCCTCAGTGGTCATCATTTACAGATTTGGAAATTTACCACCAAAGAAACTGATTTTCTCCAGGTTTCACAGTAAAAGAGCAGGAGTTAGGACCCCGATCTCCTAATTGCTATTTGCTCAGCCCAGGACTCATTGACTCCTTCAGCCAATGTTTATTGAGCACCTATTATGTGCCAGGCACTGATGCTGATTCTGGGAATACCTGTATGAACAAAACAAAGTTGCTGTTCTCAGTGGAGATTCCATTCCAATAACAAGAGAAAGAAATTTGTGTGTGTGTGTGTGTGTGTGTGAGAGAGAGAGAGAGAGAGAGAGAGAGGTCAGCTGTTAATAATGGCTATGAAAAAAATTAAGCAGGGTAACAGTTAGTGCAGCTAGGTGAGGCCTCTTGATTGTACCATGCTGCTTTTCCAGAGCACACTGAGGATTAGAACATCTTTGATCTTTCCCTTGAAACTATTGTCCCTAGCCCTTTGCAGGTTGAGAAAAAGGTAGGATCACCAAGGGATTATTTCTTTCCTACAGTGTTCTGTGTCTACCAGAAAGCTTTTACTAAGGCAAGTAGACTCTTACATTGGTACTCTGCAATTTTGTTCAGGGCGTTGAAAATTTCTTTACTCCTGTTTTTTACCATTAGGAAACCAGCAAGGAAGTCAGTCCATGGCAACTGGATTCTTTTTCAGGGTTTTTTCCTGGTCTGAGGTGAGGAGAAGGTAGAGGAACTAATTTACTTGCTTGTCCTTTCTAAGTCTAGGGCACAAGGAGGAGTTAAGGGGAGGGCCAGCCTCTGGGCCCTTGGGGCCCACAGCACAGGTACAGTAGCAACAAGGACCTTGGGCCTTCTGTGCCCCCTGAACTATAGAAAAACAGATTCCCCCTCTTCTAGAAGCACAACCAGGGAGCTGCCTTGGCTGATGTCAATTCTCCAGGGCCTCAGCTTGAGTCTTTCATCTCTTGGTTCTGGTGTTTGCCTCCTGCTTCTGTGGAAGACTGGGCGAAAAAACCTCCTAAGTTCCAAACTGTTTGACTTGCTGACAAGTGCATACAGAAAGGTAGACAGTGCTATCTGTTTTTTTAGCTTTCTCTTAGAGCAGACCCTCTGAAACATTTCTTTTAATGCCCAATCCTTACAGAGATTTTCATCCTGGCCATTTAAAGAATAGGAGAACAAGAATTAGGAATGCTGGTTCAGCTTAGACTTAATTTGGCTGGGCCTGTGCTGGGCCTGGGGCCCAGTGACTCAGGGGGAGGGTGGGAAGTTTCGAGGGAGCTGTGAGTCATAGGGGTGAGCTCCATCACAAGAGTTGGGCATATTTCTCCCACTCTGGGCAGAAGCCTTCCTATCCCACTTCCCATGGGTGTTCTGCCTCCTTGAACAGGGGCCTATGAATAGAAAGAGTACTGCAGAAGGGATGAAGTAGCCTAATCTTAGAATGGGAGTTCAGAGACACAAATAATGATGTTTAGATCTTCTGAATTTAAATGTATCCCTATCTCAGGAGCTCTTTGGTCCTCTCTAATGAAGGCAAAAGAACCTCAATAGAGAGTAAGAGAAGAAAGAATACCATTTCTCTTTTTCTTTTTTTTTTAATCCTCACCCGAGGATATTTTTCTGTTTATCTTCAGATATAGTGGTAGGGAGAGAGATAGAGAAACATCAATGTGAGAGAGACACATCAATTGGTTACCTCCCGCATGTCCCTGACCAGGGCCAGGGATTGAAGCGCAACTGAGGTACATGCCCTAGACCAGAATCAAACCCAAAACTCATTGGTCCATGGGCAATGCTCTACCACTGAGCCAAACAGACAATGGGCAGAGTACCATTTCTCAATGGAAGGAGATAGTATCCTACTTCAGGACTTTTTTCTTCTGCTCTGACATGAAGCAATCTTCCTAGGTTCCAAGAGTTCTCTGGTCTCTGTTTTTTTGTTTGTTTTAAATATGATTTTTATTGATTTTTGTGGGGGGGGAATGAGAGGAAGGAAGAGAGAGAGAGAGAAACAGTGATGTGAGAGAGAAACATGGATGGGCTGCCTCCTGCATGCCCTTCTACTGGGGGATCCATCCTGCAACCCCAGCTCCTGACCAGGGCTGGAGCTCTGGTTTTTGCACAGCAGGAAGAGATGAATGGGAGTGGGGATATTTAGGGTCTGGTGTGGGAAGAGCAGGTGGATTTTGAAGGTTGTCCAGCTGTGTCTATGAAAGCCCTAGGACGTCTTATTAACCAGCCTCAGTAGAGGAAGGGCAGGTAGGGAGGAGGAGAAATGAGAGGCCTACGCCTTTTAAAGGGTTAAATGGCTAGGCAGAACGATGCGTTTTGGACTTTGGCCGATGAAGGGTTAAGGAGGTGGGCGGGGCGACTCTGGGTAGGCCTGCCCTCATATGGGCCAATGGAGGTACATCTTTTGGAGTGGGCGTGCCTCACACTTGAGGTCGTGGGAGGCTGGCCTTCTATGGGCCAATGAGCATGGTGGCTACCATAGAGGGCGTGGTCTAAGGGGGGCGTGGCGGCCGCCACGGCGGGGGATGGGGGGTGTTGGGACGCTGGGCGGGGCGGGGAGCCCCATCAGCTGGTAGGAAATGGCCTGTGAGTCAGTGGGGCAGCAGAGTCGGCGGCGCGGAGCCGGGGCGGCCACAGGGAGGGACAGTCGCGGGGAGGAGCGCAGCAGAAGCTGGGGGGCTGCAGACGCCAGGGCCGCTAGTGTTGCACACTAAGCTAAACAGAAAAGAGCCTAGCAGAGCAGGGCTCAGCCTGAGCCACCCTTTGTTTGGGTTGGGGGCCCGTGTCGGGGAAGATTGGGGTTTCGAAGGGAGGGAAAGGACGGAGGGGTCCGGAGCAGCGACCGCCGTGGCGGAGCCAATTTGGGAGCGGGGTGAGTGTGTACTAGGGGAAAGAGCAAATCTACGAAGCTCCAGTAGGGAATGGGGCCTGTCCCAGGCTGTGGAGAGGAGAGGGAAGAGAAAGGACCTGGGAGGCTAAGCAGGGGGTGGAGATGGGGGATCGTCCAGAACAAGGAGCCCAGGAACCGGGGTGAGTCAGCCAGGTTCAGTTTAGAGGAGGTACTGAGAATTGTTCCCTCTCCACTAAGGATGGAGGGCTCTAGACCAGTGGCTAAGAGGGTGGTGAGAGATCAGAGGTTGACCTTCCTACCCACAGTGGTGGTCTATGGAAACAAGCCCCCTGGTTTGTGTGCACATGTGTGGGGACAAAATGTAGAGCAGCTGGCAGCAGTTCTCTCTGAACAGGATGAGGGTGGTAAGCACATGGAGAGAAATTCTTCCTACCACCCTCCCTGATCAGAATAGAAATGGTTATCTTTAATATTGAAGGGAAGAAGAGAGTAAGCCTGGGAGTTTGTGCCTGTACGAACACCCATCTACCTCACCGCCCAGGCCAAGCAGGTGTCTGAGGGTACAGACCCCATTGTATTCTGGGACTTGTTGTTTTTGCTGGCCTTGCTCCCTTGGCATGTTGGGAGCTGTAGTCTTTGCCAGCCAAAGCCTGGCACAGCTGTTTGAAGCCAGCTGCTGCCCACCCCCTACACAGAGAGGAGGTTTGGCCTCTCCTTCCTCCGAAGTCCTGCCCCATGAGTCAGCTTGAAGCCACTATGGTCTAGAGCCAGACTGGCTGGGTGGCAGGGAAGTGAATCTTAGAGCTTCCTATTGACAGGGCAGGAACTGAGGGATCTCTGGGGTAATGAGCAGGTGCCAAGCATGTTGGGGTCATGTAGGGCATCATGTCATCACTTGGCTTCCTCAGAGCTAGGGCTCAAGAGGCCATTTGGGATGACCTGGAGGTGAAAGTACTAAGGAAAAGGCCCTTCCTGAATCTGTATGGCTTGGGTAGAGGAAAGGAAAGGTAGAGAGAGTATAGGTTATCCCCTCTGACAGCAGTGCCATTGGCATTCTGCCCTTTCCCACCACCCCACCCACCACAGGAAACCAGAATTTTCTTAGGGATCCTAGTTCTAATGAGAACTTGGTGAACTAGGATAGTGTGGGGTACAATAATGAGAACTTAGTGTCGGAGAGCCTTTCAGTCCCTGAGTGCAAATCTCCCCTTTTACCCTGCCCCTACTCCCACATCTGTTGTTGCTTATCTCATTCTAGAAGTTTTTCTCTGTATTGTCAGGACTGCTGCCCGGATCTCTGGGGCTTGCATTCCACTTTTTTGAGCACTGCTATGTGCTCCCACTGTGCTTGGAGTTGGACAGAATAGTGGGGTGCAGACCTATCCTTAAGAACCTTATGGTCAGTCTAGGAGATTTCTTACCCGTAGAGCAAACAGAACTGTCACTGGGCTACAGGAGATAGTGACAGAAGTCTCAGAGGAGAGAAAGATATCTGTGGTCCAGGGTGGCCAGAGTAGGTTCTCTGGAGGGAATGACATTTGGCCTAGCCAAGGAGGAAGGGTAGGTTTGGGGTAGACAAACAGAAGGCATTTCTTAAAGTGGAAAGGGCATTGTGGATGACAAGCAGCAAAGGCTATTGACCAAAAGAGAAGTATTTCCTTCCATGAAGGAAAATGTTCTTCAATTTGACATTCCCTAATGGTGGATTAGTTGGTGAAGAACATCTTGTGGCAGAAAAGCAATGGTTTGGGATTTTGGATATTGGATATGTGCTGGATGTGTTAGAGAGGAGTAGAAAGGTAGTCCTAGTTGCTTCTAGCTGTCTGACTGCAACTGCCTTATCTCTAGTTTGCAGGGCCTAGGGGGAGGAATAGTGTCTTCTGGCACCCCCCCACCCCCAACACACACATACCCACACACTTGTTTATGGTTAGATTTGTTGCCTCCTTTTAAAGGGACAGACTGCTGGGGGCCATTGGTAGTTTTAAGGCTGAAGGGCCTGTTTTGAGCTGACCTGGGGTTTGTACCACTGAGGAGTGCTGATAAGGGGTGAGTTTCTACAAGATCTCTGCCCTTAGGGCTCTGGGATGGCACTTGTTTCTTTGGAGATAGACATATGGGAAGGAGTTGTGCAATTTGGTGGTCTTGACTAGGAGGGCTTAATTCTTGCCCTGGCCACCTCTCATCTGGCATAGTCTTGGATCTTGAGGTATATCATTCCCCTTCCCATTCAAGGCACAAGTCCCCAAAGTGTTGGCCCTGACAAGTGGTCATCCTGCCTCGACTTATCAGATCCTTATTATATTAAGCCAAGGCCTGCCTCTCTGTGACTCCTTAGGTAGCCCAACTCTGCCCTCTGGGACCTGGATCCCCAGACTGCCCCTCTGTTTCTGAAGAGCTCCTCATAAGGGATGAGGATGACCTGGGGTGTACTCTATTAGCCTATAATTGGAGAGGAGCCTTTTTTTTTTTTTTTCAAACCCTTGTGTCGAGGGCTGACTTTCAATAGATCACAGCAAGGGAGCTGCTCTGCTACGTACAAAACCCCGATGGAGAGGAGTCTTACCACTGATTGCAGGGATCTGGGTTTACATCTATTCTTCTTTCCTCAGGGTCCAGCTGAGCCCAGGAGCTGCACGGAATGGTGGCAGTCACCTTGCCAGTGCAGCGGGCATGGACCAGACTGCAAGCTAGGAGAGCAAGGCATCAGTCAGGAAGAGGGAACAATCAGCTAGGCTTAAGGCCTCTTCATCGGGGTGAGTGCCAAGGAGAGGGAGGGGGAGCAGGTTCAGTAAGTAACCTGAGCTAAACATGTCACCCTCTCAGAGGCTCTGGAGTGGCCTTTATATTCCATTAATCCATCTGGGGATTTGGACACCTTTACCCTTATGAACCCTTCAAGGTCACCTCTTCAGGCCAGGGAAGGATTTGAAATTCAGCTGAGAATGAGAAAACTTATTGATTTCTCTAACCACCTTTTTTCTCTTCTTTTGCACAGATGTCCCCAGGCCCCCCAGCCCAGGCCCAGCATAAAGGCTGTGAGGGGGGGCCCCCCTGACCCAAGGGGGGACTTCATGCGCCACGTGCAGGCGGAGCCATTTCCATCCTCAGAGCCAGAGGCTGGCCCTTCGCAGCCTGCAGTCAGGCAGGGGGCCCTCCAGGGTGGCCTGCTCATGGGCTACAGCCCAGCAGGAGGGGCAACATCCCCCGGGGTCTACCAGGTATCCATCTTTTCCTCTCCAGCTGGTGCCTCCGAGCCTCTTAGGGCCCTGAAACGATCATCCCCGCTTACTGAGGGTCCCCGGGAGCTCAAGAGAGGCCCTGGGCTGGGAGCCAGAGAGGGACAACCCCCTGAAGAACCATCTACTGTGGGGCTATTGGGCCCAGAGGGGCTGGGGCTGGGGCTGGGGCTGGGTGTGGCCAGCCAGCATTTTTGCCATCATGGCCTGTGTGTTGTAGAACAAGGAGGTAGCTCCACCTCACCTTGGACTTTAGGGGCCCAGAATCCCCCCTGGCCCCCATCAAATGCTTCCTGCAATACTTTGCACACCAGAAACTGGGCTTCCCCAGATCCAGGGGGACAGGGGTCCCTGGGGGAATCCCCAGGACAAGCCCCTCCAGGCCAGCTGCACACACTTGACACTGATTTGCACAGTCTTGCACAAATAGGGGGTAAGAGCCCAGTGGTTAGGGTGGACAATGGGGGCAGCCCCTGGCCTAGGGAGTCCCCTGGCACTGCCAATGGGCACAGTCCCGAGCACACACCCCCTGGCCCTGGACCTCCAGGCCCCTGCCCCACCAAGCGAAGGCTGCTTCCAGCTGGAGAAGCCCTGGATGTCAGCTTTGAGGATGAGGGGCCAGCCCCTCAGAAGCGCCGGGGAACCCTGGGTCATCCTCCTGCTGCCAACAGTTCTGATGCCAAAGCCACACCCTTCTGGAGCCACCTGCTGCCTGGGCCCAAGGAGCCTGTGCTGGTAAGCCAGGAGAGGAGGTGGTCTACTACTTTTTAAAATTTATTTTAAGCCTGGCCGGTGTGGCTCACTGGTTGGGCATCGACCCATGCACCAGGAGGTCGCCGGTTCCATTCCCGGTCAGGGCACATGCCCAGGTTGTGGACCCGATCCTCAGTGGGGGCATGCAGGCAGCGGCCAATCGATGTTCCCTCTCATCAATGTTTCTCTCTCTCCCTCTCCCTCCTCTATCTCTCAAATCAATTTAAAAAATAAATAAATAAATAAGCCCCACTAGTGTGGCTTGGTAGATTGAACGTTGTCCCATGGACTGGGAAGTCTGGGTTCGATTCCCGGTCAGGGCACATGCCCAGGTTGCAGGCTCGATCCCCAGTAGGGGGCGTGCAGAGGAGGCAGCCAATCAATGTATCTCTCTCACTTAGATGTTTCTATCTCTCCCTCCCTCACTTAAAAAAGAAAATCAATAAAAAAAATCTAAAATTTATTTTAAGTTATAATTGACACAATATCCTATTAGCATCAGGTATACAACATAGTGATTCATCATTTATATACCTTACAAAGTGATCATAATAAGTCTAGTAACCATTTGTCACTCTACATAGTTATTATGATATTATTGACTCTATTCCCTATGCTGTACATTATATCCCTGTGATTTATTTTATAACTGGAAGTTTGTACTTCTTATTCCCCTTCACCTTTTCTGTCCAACGCCCCATCCCCCGCCCCTTTGGGAAAAGGTGAAGCCTGGGAGGATGTTCCTATGAGAGCTTGTGATGAGCCTCTGTTCCTCCAAACATATGTGGCCTCCACCCAATACTTCAATTTTTCCTTTCCATAGGATCCAACAGACAGCAGTCCTATGGGACGGAGGCTGAAAGGTGCCCGTCGCCTAAAGCTGTAAGTGACTAGCTTCTGTCCCTGGAAAATGGGAACAGAAGTCTGTAATCCTCTTTCTCACTCCAGGGTAGGGGACCCAGGGCAGGGGCCCTGGGTAATGGTAAAGGGTGGGGCCTAAGAACATGAGCAGGCATCCCAGAATACCTCAAGCCAACCCACTGTGTATCCCCTGCCCTACCAGGAGTTCCCTTCGAAGCCTCCAGAAGGGCCCAGACCTGCTGAGCCCCCCCAGTGCCTCCCCTGTTCCTACCCCCGCAATCAGCCGTACCCTGTTGGGCAACTTTGAGGTAGTTACCCTTGGATTCCATGATTTGGGGATCTTAGGGGAAGTGGGATGGTGGAGTGTGGCTTGGATGGATAAGGAAAAGAGCTGGCATCTCTTTCATAGTGTGTTTTCCCACCATAGGAATCATTGCTTCGAGGACGCTTTGCACCATCTGGCCACATTGAGGGCTTCACCGCAGAGATTGGAGCTAGTGGATCCTACTGTCCCCAGCATGTCACGCTGCCTGTCATTGTCACCTTCTTTGATGTTTCTGAGCAAAATGCCCCGGCCCCCTTCCTGGTATGATCTGATTTCAACCTAAAATCACTTTTGAGGAGGATGAGGGATTGGGGGCTGACCTAATTCTAGGCAGACATAGAAGTGAGTCATGGCAGTAGGGAGAACTCCAGTGGGGGACAGGGGACAGATCCCAGAGTGAGACTGTGGAGATGGATGGGTATTCAGGGCTCTCCCAGTGCCCACATTGGCTGATGGCTCCATGGCCTTCCTAGGGCGTCGTGGACCTGAACCCCCTGGGGAGGAAGGGTTACAGCGTGCCCAAGGTGGGCACCATCCAAGTGGTGAGTTTTCCCTGAGGGGGAATGAAAGTGGGGAGAGGAAAACAGCCCTTAGGCCCCACCAACCTTGCCTGTCCTGCCCCCAGACCTTATTTAACCCCAACCAGACTGTGGTGAAGATGTTCCTTGTGACCTTTGACTTCTCGGACATGCCTGCTGCCCACATGACCTTCTTGCGCCATCGCCTCTTTTTGGTGCCTGTGGGTGAGGAGGGAAATGCTAGCCCCACCCACCGCCTCCTCTGCTACTTGCTGCACCTCAGGTGAGAACAGGGCCTGGGAACAGCTCAGGGGGCCCGGGAACAGCTGGGGAGGCCCAGGTATCCTTTCACCAACCCATGTATCCCTTCACTGAATAGGATCTCTTCTTGCTTCTCTACTGTCCAGATCCTTATTTTGATCACCCTGTCCTCCCTCAGGTTCCGGAGCTCCCGCTCAGGCCGTTTAAGCCTGCATGGAGACATCCGCCTGCTTTTTTCCCGACGGAGCCTAGAACTGGACACAGGACTCCCCTATGAACTGCAGGCTGTGACTGAGGCCCCTCACAATCCACGTTATTCACCTCTGCCCTGAACCCATATGGGCTAAGGACCAGCCCATCCTGCTCTATCCTGGACAAAGCAAACACATGGAGAGGTGGCAATAGACCCTTCAGGCTTGAATAGAAGCCCTTGCCATGCTTATGCCCAAATTGATATTTGGGTATTTAAAGCTTCTGATCCTTACCACAATTTGCCCTACCCTGGGTTCTCCATGTGCCTGCCCCTACCCTTAGAATTCCCAGGCCAGCTTAGGTAGTGGGGAGGAACTGGAGCTACCCTGAGGTTGTCCCAAGTTCCCAGGCAAGTCATGCCAACGTTGCCTCCCTGTCCTGGGCAGGGAGCACTTATTATTTTATTTATTTTTAATTTATAATTTATTCAGATTGGATTGCCTTGGTAACCTCCCAAACCTGACAATTGGCATTGCTCCTCCTCCTTTTCTACTTAGATATTGCTCCAACTTCAGGAGCTCGAGAGGCTGATGTAGGGGCTGAGGGAGAACTGCTCTCCCTCAGCTGAGGGCAGAGAGATTATCCCAGAAGGACTGAGTCATTCGCCAAACACTCAACTTCTCCTGTTCTTCCCTATATTTTTCACTTCACCTACCCTCTGACCCCTCTCTGAAAGTCAACTTATATATATGTGTGTGTGTGTATGTACACAAGCTTGTGTGAATGGTATGTATGTGAGAAAGAGAGCGTGCATGCATGTGCACACACATGGGGGTTAACTACCCCTCATCTAGGGCTCCAGACTCCAGTAGTCCCTCTCCTGCTTGTGTCTCCTTGTTTTGGGGTCCTGACTGAGGAAGGTTTTCAGGGGGCAGAGTCAGGGCCAAGGACTGGGGTGCTTCCTCTCACCTGGCCAGACTCTGACCCACCTACCTCAGCTGGGGTGAGGGGTACCCCTCAAACTCAATCATGTGGTTCCCAGCTACCCCATATCACACTCCAGACTCTGACCCAGCCTTAGCCCTGACTCCTGGGGCTGGGCTGAGGGGAACAAGCATTTGCTGAAACTTGAAAAAAACACAAACAAAAAACAAGGGGAAAAATTGTATCTGGTACTTTTTTTTTTTTTTTTAAGGGGAAAAAAAAGGCAGAAAGAAAGAAAATAAATTCTTTGGAAACTTGAGTTAAGCTGTACTTTTTCTGTTGAGAAGATCATGGGAATGGCTATGGAGGGCCCAATTGGAACTGGAACTCTGCCCTTTCTTTCAGGAAGAAGGCGGGAGGCCATGAGGTCTTGGGGAGGTCCTGCTGAGTCTCAGGGTCTGGCCTTGTTCTTTTCAGATAATGGAGTTAGGTGGTGGGAAAGGTTCAGCCATAAAAGCTTAACTGTCTGTGTACACAAATTCTTATACTAGTTGTGTTAATGATTTTAGCCCCTCTGAGCTTCATTGCCCTGATATTAAAATGAGGGTGATTATGCAAGTTTCTTAAAGGATGTGCCAGAGCATCAGGGATGTGGGTAGGTTGACATGCTCCAGACAAGGCTGAACTTTGGGGCTCTGTGCTGGACTATGCAAGGGTACCAGACTTGATAGACCCTGACTGGGAAGTAGTAGAAAAAGCTATGGTGCCTTGGGAAAAGAGGGAAGGAGAAAATCTCAGTTCAATCACCAACACAATGTTAGACCCAGTCACCACAGCAACGGGAATGGGGTCAGTCCCCAGTGGGAGGGCTGGGTATAACAGGACTACCAGAGAATGTCACTATGGCAACCGTGGCTGCGAGTCAGCTCCAGTACTACCCTGGTCGCTATGGTGACAGATGGGCGCGGTTATAAGCTCAGAAGGGTAAACTGTGTCTCTCGTGGGGGGGTAAGAACTCGGTGGGAGGTGTTACTGGGCCACCTGCACACGGAAAATTGCCTCCATTTTGGTCACCAAGTCCGGGATCGCGAGCTTGATCAGCAAGAACCGGAACAAACTTCACTCTGGGGCCCTCTCGGAAGATCTGCTTTTCTCCGGGAACAATTTGATGCACGCTTCGGCCAGGTAATGTTGATTGGCTGTGTAAAATGACAAGTGAAGGAAGGGAAGAGACGGCCGGAAGTACATCCGGGGGAGTGGAAACACCGGAGGAAAAAAGGCTCAGGTCCGGGCTTCTCGAGAGACCGCTCTGCTCCTCATCTCGTTGGTTCCGGAGGTCGCTGCGGCTGTGGGAAATGCTGGCGCGCGCGGCGCGGGGCACTGGGGCCCTTTTGTTAAGGGTAGGAGCAAAGCCGCATTTTCCAAGGGCCTGTCCAGAGATCACTTGGGTCCTTAGCTGGGAAGGAGAGGGATTCTAAGTTTGGGTAGCGAGCTGGGGTCAGAGGTCATGGCCCCACGTGAGTCCGTCTCCGCGCGGTGTAGGAAAATGCCTCCCGGACAGGCGCCGAGAGGGGCGGAGTGCCCGGCCGGCTGAAATCTCTGCTAACCCTCGTCTTCCCTTCAGGGTTCCGTGCAGGCTTTTGGCCGCGCTCCGCGCCGCGCCTCCTCAGGATTGCCCCGAAACACCGTGGTACTGTTTGTGCCGCAGCAGGAGGCCTGGGTGGTGGAGCGAATGGGCCGATTTCACCGGATCCTGGAGCCTGTGAGAAACTCATCTGCCCACCCCGAGCCATCCTGATTCCTAATTCCCTCACGACATAGCTGGTAGGGGGTCGGGGTGGGGGTGACGGAAAGTACCTCCTGGCGGGGCCTAGGCTGCTGACCGTCATAACCGTGTTCCCACCTTTTCCTATTGCCCTAGCATTCCACGTGCCTTATTCTTAGGAGTCTCCCCTACCCACTCTCAGTTCCATCTGTCTGAAGAAAGATACTCTGCTGGCTCCCGTTCCCTTGATTCTCCCATACATTCAGAGGCTCAACCTATTCTCTTGGGCTTCCCTACCATTGACATTCCCATCCTTCTTTTCTGGGCATGTTCTATATGCTGATTCCCTACCAATTACAGTCCTAGCTTGGATACCAACCTTACAGCCCCCATCCTTCTGAAGACTCATGACTCTTCTTCCCAGGGCCTGAACGTTCTCATCCCTGTGTTAGACCGGATCCGATATGTGCAGAGTCTCAAAGAAATTGTCATCAATGTGCCTGAGCAGTCAGCTGTGACTCTTGGTGAGGGGTGCAGGGTGACTTGGGTGCTCTGAGGCCATTAGGATGTGGTTGCTGGAGATACAGAGCTTAGGAGAAAGAGCTGATTGGGACCTGGAGGCCTGACCTTCCTCTTTTTTCTCTCCTGCTCCTGCATTGTAGACAATGTAACTCTGCAAATCGATGGGGTCCTGTACCTGCGCATCATGGATCCTTACAAGGTATCTGTCTTCTGCTTTATTCAGCTCCTGAGTTGTTCTCACTAAAATTCTGCACCCAAGCTTCCTACATTATCCATATTCCTTTCAGGCAAGCTACGGTGTTGAGGACCCTGAGTATGCTGTCACCCAGCTAGCTCAGACAACCATGAGATCAGAGCTTGGCAAACTCTCTCTGGACAAAGTCTTCCGGGTAAGGGTTCTGAGCCAGAGTTAAGGTTTGAAGACACAGGCTTGGCACTCTTCATTCCATTCTTGGGGTTAAGATCAATCCTAGGTCCTTCTCAGCTTAGACCCTTGGTGAGTAGGTCTCATACACTTTTACACAGGTAAAAGAGGCTTATACCTTTTTTTTTTTTTTAAATCGTCACCTGAGGATATTTTTCCATTGATTTTCAGATAGAGTGGGAGGGAGGGAGAGAGAGAGAGAAACATCAATGTGAGAGATAAACATCGATTGGCTGCCTCCTGCACACCCCCTCCTGGGGATTGAGCCCACAACCTGGGCATGTGCCCTGACCAGGAATCGAACTGGGACCTCTCAGTCCTTGGGACAGTGCTCACTCCACTGAGCCACACTGGCTGGGTGAGGCTTATACCTCTTTTTACACCTCTCTTCCTCCAGGAGCGGGAGTCCCTGAATGCTAACATTGTGGATGCCATCAACCAGGCTGCCGACTGCTGGGGCATCCGCTGCCTCCGTTATGAGATCAAGGATATCCATGTGCCACCCCGGGTGAAAGAGTCCATGCAGATGCAGGTGGGGGCCAAGGAGGACATCCCATGCTCTAGTTGCAGGGGAACCTGGACTCCTATGTGATGGGTACAGTTGCAGATCTGTTTAAGAGTTTTGCTCTGACTTCTTATTGATTGCTGGGGGCTTCCAGGTGGAGGCAGAGAGGCGGAAACGGGCCACAGTTTTAGAGTCTGAGGGGACTCGAGAGTCAGCTATCAACGTGGCAGAAGGAAAGAAGCAGGCACAGATCCTGGCCTCTGAGGCAGAAAAGGCTGAACAAATAAATCAGGCTGCAGGTCAGCAGAGGGTAGAGCCTGAGGGAGGAGCAGGGCATGGGTCTTTGAGGGTTGGTTCTGGGACAGTAGCTTGGGGGTACCCTGACCTCATGGGCCAAGTCCTGTCTCTTTTCTTCCAGGAGAAGCCAGTGCAGTTCTAGCCAAGGCCAAGGCCAAAGCTGAAGCTATTCGCATCCTGGCTGCAGCTCTGACACAGCATGTGAGAGGCCCTGGGTGGGAGTGGGGGACAGAAATTGACAGTGGAAGTTCTCTTATCTACCTATGGGAGAAATTCCTGCCTTTGTGGGTTCCATGGAGCCAGCTTATATGATGATTTCTTATATTGTGATATGCATATCCTTTTTCCAGGAACCTGACATTTCCTTTCCACTACCCCTCACCCCTACCCCACCCACTTCTCTAAGTCTGATGTCTGATTTCTGATTTTATCCCTCCTATGGCCACAGAATGGAGATGCAGCAGCCTCACTGACTGTGGCTGAGCAGTATGTCAGTGCGTTCTCCAAACTGGCCAAGGATTCCAACACTATCCTGCTGCCCTCCAACCCTGGCGATGTCACCAGTATGGTGGCTCAGGTTAGAGTGCCCTGAGGTTCCTGCACAAAGCACCAATGCCAGAGACAGATTCCACCACTACCATCACCATTTATATACCATAGAGGTTTTCAGAGTCCTTGAAACCTGGACCTCCCTTCAGGCCGTGTAGAGAATGAATCTCTAAGGATGAAACACCCCCACTCACCCTCAAGATAGGGAAGCTCTTGAGACATTGTTTTCTCCCAGATACCTGTATAGTATTCTGAGGGTGGCCCTGCTCTGGTAGTTTGCAAAATTCCTAGAACTTGACTCCAGAGCTTATAAGACTGACATTTGAGAGAGGGAAAAAGAAAAAACAAGCTGACTGACTGCAGCCCCACCTTATTTTAGCCATTGGTAGGCTGTGTTTCACCTTCTGCCATATGTCCTTATGGTTCTCTCTGTTCCTCTCCTCAGGCCATGGGTGTGTATGGGGCCCTTACCAAAGCTCCAGTGCCAGGGGCCCAGAACTCAGTCTCCAGTGGGAACAGCAGAGATGTCCAGGGCACAGATGCAAGTCTTGATGAGGAACTTGATCGAGTCAAGCTGAGTTAATAGAGCTGGGCTTGGCCAAAGGCTGGGGACAGAGAAACAGCACTCCCAAACTCTGGCTGTAGCCTCCCTGCTGAGATTTTGGTTATTATTTTTTTATTTGAACTTTAATCATGTAATAAACTTGCCAGTGGCAAACCAATAACAGGCCTCTCTGATTGGGAAATGAAGTTGAGAAAATCATCATTGTTTTCCTTAGATGTTCACTCCCACCTTCTAGTCCGGGGAGGGGGGGAACATCTGGCCTGTATAAGGCCCTTGAAATCAATACCAGCTAACATCACACACCTCACCAAAGAGAAGCAGTTCCAGCCATCACATTAGGGGTCAGTTAATGATTGACCAAATATAGCAGGCTAATTTTTAAGTTGATCATTTTTTATGGCCCACGAATGATGTTACAAATATCCTAATGGCCCTTGGCAGAAAAAAGGTTCCCCACCCCTGCTCTTGTCCTATCAGGTCTTGGGAGCCAATCCTCTGTGAGCAAGAATGTACCTGATGTAATATGAAATCATCCTTTTGTTTTCAGGAGAAGCTGTGGGATAATGTGGAAGGATTAAGCCACATGTCACTGAACTGTCAGCTGGGAAGTGTAGTCCCTTCCTGCTAAGTGTTGGGCTGTGAATTTGAGCAGGTGTTTGGGGGGATTTT